CCGGGCCCCCGGGGCTGCCGTGAGTTATAGGCTCCTCGCGGATGCCGCAGGCGAGACGGGCACACCCTCCTCTAGGACACGTGGGTATAGTTCCAACCCAGCCGTCTAAGGGTTTGGCCTTCGGACACCCCACATATCACCACCCAGTCTTCTCTCCCGAATTTCGAACTCTGCAGCAAACATGGTCGGGCAAAGACCTCACTGCGCCCGGGCTGTATTCTAGGCGGACACAGGCCCCCTTCTTCCAGAAGGTCCCAGCAAATGTTTCACAGGCTGCAAGGCCAATCAAGTACCCCCTGCCCCCGCAACCACACCAGCACCAAGCACAGAAGCTCTGCCTTGATAAACCGACTTTAATATTCTCGCTCGGCAGGCGGTTCAGAGCCATGCTCCGCGGGCTGGTTATCTCCACACAAGACATTCATGTGTCGGTGAGGGCCTGGAGCGGCAGCTCTAACCAGTGTGGGGTGAAGAAAGGGCACCCGTCCCACCAAGCACCAGCGAATCCTTGCTGCTAGGAACCTCCCTAGGAATGCCTGGCTGCAGCCAGAGCCTAGAGGCAGGCGACATCCATCCTGGCTCTGGGAGGGCTCAGAGGCTGCAAAAATAAATTATGTCCAGGTGTCCTTCCTCCCGTTAGGGTCTCCTGTGCTTCCGTGGTGGCAAGCTTCCTGAAGACAGCGGAGTGGCTGTCCACACTGAGCACCACTCCACCGCAGCCTGGGTGACGGCAGGAGTGGTGGCAGAGCTGGAGGCGAAGCCGGCAGGGGCTAGGCTGGTGGCAGGTCCAGCTGTCAGTGTCAGTGTCAGCTGCTGGCCTGCAGGGGGAGACACCCCATAAGTGGAGATCCTGCTTTTTTCCTGGCAGCCCCTAGGAGGCCAGGGGTCCAACCAGCGGGGTCTGGAAGGCCAGCCCTGACCACCCAGAGACTGAGGCACCGAGGGGGGGTGTGGGAGGTGCCGCTATGGAGCCATCCCGCGAGGCTGGCCAGGCTAGAGGGCACGCTCGTCCCGAAGCGGGACACTTACTTAGCTCACTCGGCTGGGTCTCATTCATGCCCATCAAAATCTAAAAAAAACAGAGTGACATTAATGGTGGGCGCCCTGACCCTGGGGAGTACGCACTCAGCAGAAGGCTGGAGACTAGCTGGCATGCTGCGTGCCCACGTGGCACCCCCAGGCCGTCAGCCCCATAGCACTCGGGACCCCACAGCCTCTCCAGTCCGCTGGGCAGCAAGCGGTCCCAGGCGGGCTCTGCAGCGCAAAGCACCCCCAGGATAGTAAGCGACAGCCTTGCTGCCAGGGCCAGGCAGGGTGGACACGGCAGCACCTTGGGCTGGGCAGGCAGGGCCCTCAGAGAAGGCAGGAAGCTGACTGCCCACACACCTGGGGTCCTGCCAGTGCCCACCCCCACCATCCCCACCCCTATCTGAAGCCCAGCTGAGAGTGTGGCGCTACCCCTCCCCCGCCCGGGGGGACTGGGGACTGTGGGCTCCACCTACCAAACGTGAGGGGGACAGGCTCCCCCATAGGCTCCTCGTGCTCATGCAGGCTCTCCAAGGCATCCAGTCTGTCCACCTGCAACAGAGGCGAGGGCACGTGAGTGCCCACCCCACAGGGCACAGGCTGCACACGCCCCATGCACATTCTGAATGCAGCGAGGCCACATGAGGTGAGGCCTTGGGAGCTGGGCTGATGGAGCCTCCAACGGAGCCCTGGTGAACCCCTGGCTGCACCCCAGCCCAGCGGCTTCTCAGTGGGCACAGGCCCCCAGGTGCACGGCAGCAGTGGCCGGTGGCCATGCTCTGGACACAGGGGTATGTCACTCAGGCACCTGTGGGGCTGGGACACTGCTGGCTTCTAATTTGAGGCAGCCCTGGCTGTGTCCCACCTAAGCAGCAGAGATCCTGTGGTCCTCAGACCAGCTACCTGACACCCGCCCTGGGGAGGACAAGCTGCATCCTCACTCAGAGGCTTTGCCAGAGGCCGCCCCCTGCCCATTGCTGCCCCTGTGTGCTGAGCACTTGGGCAGGGAAGAGTGAGGTGGTGCTGTCAGAGGTGGCACTGTCCAGAGGGGACGACGGCAACGGTGCATCTAGGACGTCCCCAAACAAGTGCCAGCGAGCTGGAAGCCACAGTGGGTGCCCCTGTCGGCTCAGTGACTCCCACCTGCAGGTCCAGGGCTGGGGGGCGGGGAAGGAGGTTGGTGGGCCCAGCGGCCCTGCCTGTACTCTCTGCCCACAGCTGCTGAGGCCCAGGGCCGGAGTCAGAGCTCGGCCTCCCGACCCTCCTCCAGGAGAACGCTAAGGGTCCCGGCGTTCCAGATGAGCCAGGCCCCGGCCCTTCCTACAACTGTGTTGTGTCTGCCTGGCTCCTCTTGAGTTTGAGCCCAGGATGGGCCCCGCTCCCACTGCACCACCTGGGATCCGCCGGCCCCTTTCCCACACCAGGAGCCTTGTCTGGCCCTAGCGGGGCAGCAGTAGGGACAGCCCCAGCGGGCGACCACACCTCCCAGGGCTGGCGGAGCTGCCAGGATCCCGGGACGCGGAGCCTGGAGCACAGTGCTGGGTTAGCTGTTGCAGCCGCAGTGCTGACCAAGGTGACAATGGCTGCGGGATGAGCCCTTCATCCACAACCGAGAAGGGAATGTCTTCCCCAAAGTCTCTGGGGGTCCCCCCCTCGTGGCAATGGCCCCGATTCCTCTCATGCATCCATGAGCCTCTGTGCCAGGAAGAGGTGCAAGCCCCACACACCCTCCTTCATGCGGGCTGGCCGAGGAGCCCGGCGCCTCCCACCAGGACGCTTTGGGGATGGGAGACGTGGCTGCCCGTGGGAAGGGTGGCTTCTGTGGACCACCTCCAATGGCAGACGCCTCCTGGGAGCTGCCGTCCGCTGCAGTGAGGCACCAGTCCCAGCCCTGGCAGCAGCAAGCTTAGGCCACGTGACCAGGGCTGCCCTTCCCCCACCCTCCAGAGTCCTCTGGGAGCCTCACCCAGAAGTGCCATGTGGCTGGGGTGGGTCATGCTCATGCCGCAGCGGGGCCACAGCCTTGCTCAGCCTCGGGGTGACCTTGCCAGGGGCTGGGCAGCTCCCCAGAAGGCCCTGCAGGTGGCAGGCCACAGCCAGCAGCGCTGGTTCCTCCTTTGCCTTTCTCTCCACACACTAAAGGGGGCCCTCCCCCACTCCTGCGGCTGGGGGCCCCAGCTGGGGCCAGCAGGCCTGGGGCGGTGACTTGTCCACAGCGTTAGAAATAGCCAACAGGGACCAGATGATGCCCCGGGGAGGGACTTCTTGGGCCCTGACACTTGGGGTTTTTATAATCCCTGTCCCCTGGCTGAGGCAGGCAAAGTCACCCCTCAACAGCTGTTGGGAAGGTTCAATATAGGTTTTTTTTTTTTTTTTTTAAGAATTATTTAATTAATCAATTAATTAATTTTAACTTGAACAGAGAGGGACAGAGTGAAAGAGAGAAAGCAAGCTGCCAGGTCCGGGACTCAAACCGTGGCTGGCCATGTGGGAGTCCAGTGACCTTAACCACCACGCCACCTGCCAGTCCCCAGTATCAGTGTTAACACTCCTACTGAGTGCTCAGCAAACGGGGTTCCAACAGGGGGCTGGCCAACAGCTGCACCCCCAGACTCCACCGGAAGCTGTGGACACACAGGCCCTGGAGGGAGCGGCCCACCAGCTGAGGCCCCACTGTCTGCCTGGGGAGCTGAGGTCGGCAGGAGGGCTGTCGCGGGCGGGAGTGCTTGGTTCCACTGACGCCCTCCACAGTGGTTGCCTAGGGGGTTCACATTGGACAGAAAACCATTTGAATGGGGACTAGCAGGTGGTATGGTGGTTAAGGCGCTGGACACTCCCACATGGTCGACCACGGTTCAAGTCCCAGACCTGGCAGCTTGCTTTCTTACTTTCCCGCCTATTTCTCTGCTCAAATTAAATTAAGAAAGTGAATAAATAAAATAAAATTAAAGAATTCTTAAAAAGTGGGAACCAGCAGTTAGCGTAATGGCTATGTCGCTGGACTCCCACGTAGTCGACCGCGGTTCGTGTCCCGGACCCGGTGGCTTAAAACTCACGCTGGGCGCGTGTGCGTGTGTGCCCAAGATCCCGAGAGGAGAATGGAGGAGAAGGGATTGCGGCGTGACCATCCCCCCTGGGGGGTGATTTCTCGCTTTCTGTCTCTATGTCTCTGTCTGTCTGGCGAGCACACGCACCCTACAGTGAAAATCTCTCCAAAAAAAAAAAAAAAAAAAGAATACTTAAAAAGAGAGAGAGAGAGAGAGAGAGGGAAAAAAAAATAACCCACTTGAGTGGAGAGAGGCCATTCTGGAAGAGGCCAGGGACGGGTGGGAAAGCTGGGCGGGTCTGAGGAGCCCTCCCCAGGGCCTCCCCAGGCGGGGCAGCCGGGCCAGTGCTCACCTTGCTGAGGTACTCACGCATCACCTGGATGAAGTAGGGCATGGCGAAGTCCATGAGGCCGTGTCTCCAGGCCAGCTCGAGCACCACGTCCGGGTGCAGCAGGTCGTAGCAGGTGAAGAGCGAGGCCGCGAAGCACTCGCGCTTGCCCTCCTCCAGGAACCACCGCAGCAACTGCTCTGCCAGCTCGGCGTCCCGCGACTCCGCAGCGTGCTGCATGGCGTCCTGCGGCCAAGACACAGGCTCAGCTTGGCCTGTCCTGCACAGGCGGAGGCCTCGGGCCTGCAGGTGGCTGGGCGGGCAGCGGGAGTGGCACCCAGGTCCCACGGGCCCTCCCTGTGCTGTGGGCGAGTGGACACAGGGCCAAGCTGCCCCAGCACTGTGGTGCCCTCTAGTAAGACAGAGATGTCACCTCCAGGAGTCACAAGGGGACAAACAACAGTCCTCGCAGCCCTCTGTACAGCGCGGAGCTGGCACACGGGTGGTGCCCTGCGAGATGGCTCCGACTCAGGGCCCATTCTCTGCAGGCCTGAAAGCGCATGGCGCTGCCCGGGACCAACAGCTGGCGTGGCCCTCTCAGAGCCCAGCTCTACAAGGAGCAGGTATGAGGGGCATGGCTCGTGCTCAAGAAACAGCAATTTGCAGGGCTGGCGGGTGGCATGTGGTCTCCCATGTGGCTGACCACAGTTCGAGTCCTGGGCTTGGCGGCTTGCTTTCTCTCTTTCCTTCTCTCTCTCTGTCCCTTTCTCATGAGTTAAAAAATAATATGAAGGGGTCAGCATGTGGCAGGGTAGTTAAAGCACTGGACTCTCACATGACTGACAATGGTTTGAGTCCTGGACCTAGTGCATGTTCATGCATGCCCAAAATTCTGAGGGGAGAATGGAGGAGAAGGGATTGTGGCATAGCCATCTCCCTGGGGGAGGAAGGGGGGTTTCTTGCTTTCTGTCTCTCTCTGGCAAACGCGCACACCCTAAAAGCAAGAATCTCTCAAAATAAATAAATGCAATTAAATAAATAATAATAACCCCCCCCACACACAGAAACCCTAATTGTGGCCAGCAGGTGGTGTGGTGGTGAAGGTACTGGATTCCCGCATGGCTGACCCTGGTTCAAATCCTGGACCCTGAAGCTTGAAAATTCACACCAGGTGCATGTACGTGCATGCCCCATATCCCGAGAGACGAATGGAGGAGAAGGGATTGTGGCATGGCCATCCCTCCTGGGGGCTGATTTCTCACCTTCCCTCTGTATTTCTGTATCTCTCCAATGCATGCCCTATATAAAAATCTAAATCAAAACTCTAATTAACATTTTTTTTTGGAGAGGTTTTTCACTATAGGGCGCATGCACTCGCCAGACGACAGAGACATAGAGACAGAAAGCGAGAAATCACCCCCCAGAGGGGATGGCCATGCCGCAATCCCTTCTCCTTCATTCTCCTCTCGGGATCTTGGGCACGCATGCACACGTGCCCGGCGTGAGTTCTAAGCCACTGGGTCCGGGACGCGAACCGCAGTCGGCTACGTGGGAGTCCAGCGACATAGCCATTACGCTAACTGCTGGTTCCCAAAACCCTAATTAACATTTTCAAACTTGTGAATTTGTCTAAAATGACAACATTTATGAAATGGCACCACATCATGACTGGTCAACAGGAAAGTGGTCCTACAGCCTCCGACAGCTGCTCCGTGTCCGGCCACACGGCGAGAGCTACATCCCGTGTCCCAGCGCACCTGACCTTCCGCACACGGCCTGCACACGGCTGTATGATCCTTTCAGAGACTCTGAGGTGCAGTCACGTCCCCAATGTCACGCACACCCGGTCTGCGTACCCACTGACTGACCTGTGCTCTCCAGGGATGACCATCCGCTCTCGATGGCCACCATCGTGGTCCCATTTTACGTGCCCATTGCCACCAAGTTCCATTCTGGAGACTCAGTCTCCCAGGCCATGAGGCCGAGTGCCCTGTGTGCAGCTCCACATGGCCCCTCTTGCCTCCTCCTAGAAGCAGTGTCCTCTCACCCCTGTTGGCTGCCCCGCTCGAAGAGGCCTGCCTCCTCCCAGGGCCTTCCTGCAGAGGTACCAGCACCTTCCTCTCTTGGCCACAGCCAGTCCAGTAAAGTGAAAGTTCCGGGGCGGCCTCGGGCCACATCTCCAAGGACCTGTAATACCCATGCCGTGGCTGCCTGGTCTCCCTGCCATCCTCCATCCAGCGGGCCCCCCGGTCACCTTGTCTTTACCTGGTGCCTACAAGCGGGTGCCTCTCTGTCCCCTCCTCCATGGGCCTCGGGCACTGTCCCATGCCTCAACTGCCATCACCAGGAAGCGGACATTTCCAGGACCCCTGAGCCCCAGACCATGTGCTTGGTTCCCTGCTGGCCGCTTCCTATGGACTCCCAGGTCCAAGGAGCCTCCTGGGGGCTCTCAGTCAGCACTCTGCTCCTGCCACCTGGAGCCTGCTCAGATCTGGGACACGCCTGCCCCCCATGACCACCCTGGCCTGGGCCCTCTCAGGGCTTCTCTGTCCTTATCCCATCCTGGCTCCCACCTTCCCTACCAGACCGCGGCAGTGCCTGGTGGGGCCCTGGCTGGCCTACATCTGCGCCGTCCCTTCTGTTCGCCACCTGCTCCTCCTACCTCGGTCCTGGCACCTCCTCACACTCAAATCCAGAGGCTTCTCACCCTGCCTGTGCCGTGTCCCACGCACACCTGCAATCCTTGGAGCGGCCACTGTCATCTAAACTTTCATCTAACACTACTCTGTCACCTTCAACCCTTCCCCACCACGCGCTGCCCTGGCTGCGGCTCTGCTCCACTGCGGCCCCACACCAGGGAGGGGGCCCCCGCCTGTGCACTGGGGCTCCCCAGCACCCTCAGCTGTGCCCAGCCAAAGTCCCCTGGGTGGTCAAAGCTGCCTCAGCTCGGAACCACCGCTCTGGGAGAGGCTGCTCAGCGGCTGTCCAGTGCATTCTTGGCCCAGCGGCTCTGGGCAGTCACTGGCTGG